CGGCCTAAACATAAACCAGCCGTAGAATTCAGATTCATATTGAACGCCTCAGTTTATTCTCAGATCACTGAGCACTGAAATGGTCTGCTCCGGCACGGCCTTGGCTTCCCCTCATCATAACCTCCGACAGGTGACGTTAGTTACTATGGTAGCTACCAGCTTGTGCAGTTTTGAAACAGAATTAGGATAAGAGGCAGATTTGGTCAAAAGCTAGATGCTGGCAGCACTGCTGTATGTATAACTATTTTTCACAGCTGAAGCAAGGAGAGGCATCTTCACGCATCAATAATGTATGAGGTTGTTCTCCAATATGCTAACATGAATTATTTTACAAGCCGAGCCGACCTGTTTCTCCTTCTCCCCCAGCCTCCTCACCCCCAGGACGCGGTACATCTTGTTTTTGTCTCCCGCTTTGGCTCCCCTTCTATTCTCAGACCCCTTTTCTCAAAAAAATCTGAATCTCCTCTCAGAAGTGCGTCTTCTCCTCCTTTGCTGAATAATCTGGGGCTCAGCGGGTTTCTGAGTCTCCCTATGTGTTTCCCCTCCACATCTCTGTGCTCCTTTATAGACTTTCTCCTTTTTAACCACATCCATGCGTAGTGCGTGCGCGCCCAGCGCCTCCGCCTTTGTGCGCTATGCTAAGGGAGAAAATACAGATTCTTGTTAGATAGGATGGGGATTTTGATGAGGAAGAGAACTGTCAGCACACAAGAAGAGGCAGAAAATCCAAACTTGTGAAGTCTCGAGTTTTTCTTTTAAATATTTCTGACTCTTCTCGGGTTTTTCTTTTTATCTGTGACCATCTCTAAGCTTCTCCATCCTCACTGGGGGTTCGTCCTGACACACTAATCTTGTAGTATTCAAAGCACATTAGCGCATGCTGCTGTGTGGTGTTTTAAAAACCTTCCCCCTTTTTTTTTTTTTTTTTTTTTTTTTTTTTGAAAAAACAGCAATTTGACAGTCATTTAACAAGCAACAATACAGAGCCTAGAGCCATGTAAATGTCTTAGTAAAGCTTGATCTGGGCAGAGTCGTGATCTGAGCTAAATGTTAACATCACCATGGCAACTTGCTCTAAAAACATGCAGAATTTAAACGGGTAAGATTCTCGTTCGTTGCTACCACTCCGCTCTAGAGCACCTTGACATTTGCTAATTCGCTTTGAGCATAAAAACTTTAAAAGGTTCTTTTATTTCTGCAGATTTCTAGTGAAGGACATTCATACCACTAATGTTTACTGGACACGGACGGGGTGGAGGGTATGGCGGCTTATTTGTGTCTATCCATACATACAGAAAAAAGGTTGATGTAAATGAAAGACATGCCTTTCACCAGAATAGTAAACAGTAGCTGAGAAATCTCAGAGCTTCGTCACCAGAGGCCAAGCCGTTGGCAGAGTTCAATAATAAAGCAGCTGCATTTCTTTTAGCTGCAGCCTCATATTCTGAGTTTACTTTGAAAATATCTTTCGGTGTTATGTGGTATGAGTCTGGGGGGAGATTTACAGCGATAAACTATGATTGATGATGTTGACAAACCTCAACTAGTCAAACGCAAATTCAAATTCTTCATTTTTTTTTTTTTTTTTTCTTGGAGCATATCTGAGATATCTAAAAGAAAATGCAGGTTGGAAGGATCAATGCTACGGGACACGCTAGTGAACTGGAAGTGATCCGCGCCACTGAACCGCCATCTTGGAAAGCGTTGATGAACCATGGCTTCCAGACGAACAAAAAGAAATGCATATTGACAAAGATATACCAATAAAATCACTGCTATCTGGTTCGACCCAAGACAGAGAATGTTGCTTGTTCATTGTTGTCATAGCGACTCCATAGCAACTGTCATGATGGTTAGTTACGGATACCTACCAAGATGGCTGCCAGCTACAATGTTGTTGGCGTCCTGCAGAGGAGCCAATCCAAGAGCAGCTCTTATTTTCCTTGCTGATTGGCTGTAGAGCAGAGCTGAGAAAGACGATAGATGTTAGCTTCTGCGGAGGTGCCAAGACTGTTTCCATTGTTCATATTAATGCATATTTGAGGTTTGAACTTTTAAAATAGGTAGTTATAGACGTTTTAAAAGGGATTCTCAAGTACTCACAGATTTTAGCTTAGTGGCCAGCTGTGGCCCCCACAAATATCCCCATTGTGATATGATTGGGATTTTCACCATTTGTTTCTAGCTAAAGGTATCTTTTTCTATTTGTACATTAAATTGTCATTGCTTCTGTTTCTTAAATTTAAATATTTGCTTTAATGCAGTTTGGCTCATGCTAACTCGCTATGGCTATATATCGTCTAGTTTTCAGTTGCTTGTCTCGACTTAGTCGATTCATTTTTTAAGGCAGCTGTACCGAAGACTGGTATACGCACTTAAATTTTAAAGCTAAAACTTTTCGTTTGTTTTGATGGAGTTTTTTTTTTCATCTTTATTTTACATCACCTCTTCTGTAAATCCATACAGCGTATCCCTTTACGTTTCATCACTCCTATCGATTATTGAGCGGTGTCAACCCCGAGGTAAAGCAAACATTTTTTTGTTCACCCAGCTTTTATAGCAACCTCCACTCCAGTCGTCCCTGTTGTATTTAATTTTAAATTATCGTCTGCTTGTGGAATCGGTTTCTTTTCCCCCTCTCTGTCAGACTGCACGTACGTAGACACAAGAAAAGAAGAACAAAATCCCATTCTTTCTGCCTTTTTAAACAATCCCAAAGGCCTTGGAACAGTCAGTGCAGCTGATTTCCAACATACATGCCCTCAAGCATTTTTTTGTGCTCTTAAGCACACACACACACACACACACACATGGTCCTTACATCCTCCAACCAGTCAGTGAGGGCTAGTTCCCTGCCAGATTTGCAACTGGCAAATGCGCAATTCTCAAATCATCTTAAGTCAGCCGGACGTGGTCCGCCTTAAAGTTTAAGACGGGTTTTCTGGAAGCCTGAGGCCAGAGCTCCCATCGCTGTGGATGACGGCCAAGACCCATTCCACAGTGCTCTGCTGGTCGGAGATGTGAGGAGGACGATGTAGCGAAGATGCTCTCAAGAGATGAAATGCTAGTCGGTCATTAATCTTCAGAGACAGAGTCCAGGCTACGTCTTAAATCATTTCAGTCTAAAGTTCAAGTTGGGCCTGTTGCCGGTTTGATTTCTAAACGATATTTAAAATCTAACTGCACTACAATTAAAATAGGAGTTGTATTCTTCAAATTGTTGCAGAATTGTACAAATTTTCCTCATCAACTACTATGGTCTTGAGGTGCTGTGTGAGAAAAGATGGAAAAACGCTACAGTCTGGCTTATAAAGAATGTACACTTTAGCTGTCTTTCAGCCGAGTTTCATCTGGCTAAGCATCTCAGTATCATGAAGGATTTATATATTTGCAGGGACTCATAGACAGCAGTTTACCGTGTTATTCTCTCAGTTTTTCCCCCTAAAAACATGAGGTGCTTTGAGAAATCAACCGACTGTAATTGAACAATCTTCAGCTTGGCTAGTGCTGACCCGGGTCCGGCCACATGGAAACTCCCATACATCAACGCTGACTTCTTGTGCTGAAGTCAACACTTTTTGATTTGAGAGTTGTTATGGAGAGAAGAAGACTGAAAGTTGACTATTTTCGCCGTTTGAAAAGAAGTCGAAAATGTAAGGAGCTATTTCAAAGGAAGCAATTTTCTCAGCCCCCATGTGGGCTTTTCATTCAGGTGGCTACTTTTAAGCAGGGATTGATGCTTTAGCAGATAACAGGAACACTACGCTAAGGTCTTGCATTAATGCTCCGTTTTCTTCTTTCTTTCATGGAAAATGCTGATGGTCAGGATGTCTGCATCTTTAAAAGTCTTAAATAGTCTTAAATTTATCCAATATCAGGGCCGTAAAACATCTTAAATTCAAGAAAATAAATACGCTTATCACAAGTCTTGCATTTCTTAGTGATAGGACTCTTCAATCTTATATATTCTATATCGTTATTTTTTTCTAATGGGACTTTTATATCAGGCAAAGGTTTGAGTTGTGCGCAAGCGTCTTCACTAACTGTGTTCTGTGACTTAAGGTGGTTAAGGCTACCTGTAACGAGCTGCTAATAAGCTAGCAAGCAAATAATCAAGACATTAGCAGCCAGAATTTGGCTATCTAGCTAGCAAAGAAAAAAGCCATTAGCAGTTAGCATATGACTGTATGTGAGAAGCACAAAGCTGCTACCTAGAGTCACAAAAATAGCCTGGAAATGTCCATTTTGTCCTGTTCATTTGTTTTTTTGCAGCTCATGATATAGGTCTTAAATTTAACTCATAAAAAGGTTTAACTTGTAGTTGGTGAAACCTCCAGAAACCCTGGACTGAATCTTGGTTCTTAAAGAAATTTCTACAGCAATAGCTGTTTACACTTAACAATACTACCGCTAAGATAGTTGAGTTAAAAGTCTGATATAAGTAGATTAAATTGGATAATAATATCTGACCAGTATGTCTCTGCTAACACAATCTTAAATTGAAAAATAGTCCATAATTATTTCAACTGAAAAGTACAAACTATATGTTCAATTAATTCTCTGTTTAGAAGTGGGGAAAATCTGTCTACATTGCCAAATAGTGAAATTTAGGGCTGCTGCTGGTTTAAGGGGAGATGCTAGAAAACACAGCCAACATGCTGGGATAAACATTGTCGGGAAAATAGGATGTAAAACGCTTCCATCACCTGTTCAGTGACATCAGATCTGTCAAAGCGAACAAAGCTGTGTTTAAAACTGGCTCTGGAGGGACGGGAGCAGCGGAGACAGATTTATATAAACAAGGGTTCTAGAGGCTATGAATGATTGATCACTGTGAATTCTGATCTCAGTTGTATTCAACAATGTTTTGGGTTTTTTCCCCCTCAACCCAAATCATAAATAAATGAATGTGCAGCTGTTTGAGTTTGGTTTGGTTTAACAAATCTCAAGTGTTCACTTTGTTTAAAGACGTCTTCCTGTTTTGTCCTTCAACGTTTCAGCGTTTCATCCAGTACCTGGCCTCCAGAAACACTCTGTTCAACCTCAGCAACTTCTTGGATAAGGGAGCTCTGCAAGGTAAGAGCCTTTCATTTTTGCACAAATGTCACAACTCCTTGCAATTATGTCTCATATTTTCACAAATGGAATGGATAAACATCAAAGGATGTGAAGACAGAAAGGATGAAGTTGGTTTAAAACTGTGTGATCTTTCAGGTTACGACATGTCAACCTTCATCAGGCGATATAGTCGCTACCTGAACGAAAAGGCCATGTCCTACAGACTGGTGGCTGTGGATTTCACCAAGATGAAGAGAGGGTATGTTTAAAATGAGCTTAATAATTTACATTGTGATAAATAATATTTTATTTATTTATGGTTTTGGTTGTGTTGGACGATTCCAATGTTGTAGGTAGGGTTAGGGCAATATGTAAAATCAAATTTTTTTGCGTACCAGATCCAATTTAATTGATTTCTTTCCCCCTCTCTATTTTCTAAAATAGTCATTGCAAATAACAGAAAATAATTTCAAGAAGTAGTTTTTATTTCAGTCATTCACTCTTTGAGTTGTACGATTGAATGTTAAGGGAAGGCTACAAAACCTTTTAATTGTTCAATTTGGAGAATAAAGATGTACTTTAAGAAGAATAAAGGTGGAATTTTACCAGAAGGTCTTAAAATTACAAAATGAAAACTTGTTTTAATGAGAGTCATTGGCTCAGTTGTTTCAAAGTTCTGCTGCTAATAATTTGATGTTGATGTATTAAAGATTAAATATTTCCTTACCTGTAAAACTGATACCAAATTATAGCTTCATAAGATGAAGATATTTTTTTGTGCTGGAGTTCTCATAAAATTACCACCTTATTCTGGTAATATTAGGACTTTACTCATATTATTTCAACTTTACTGCCATACGACTGTATTCTTGTAATGTTATGGCTTCATTCTTGTAAGTCAAAAGAAAAAGTTGGCTGGACTTTTGTTGACCTGAATTCAATGTCCTAATAAACAGAATTGGTAAAACATGCTTGTCAAACAAGATGGCCGCCCTGGATGTGCTGACATCACTCTGAACTATGGAAACCCAAGGAGGGCATTGGTGGATAAAAAAAAATCCTGATTTTCCAAAATCTTAACCTTCGAAAACCAACAAAATGTATTAATTCATAAAACTGATGTGTCGCCCACACATAGTTGCAAGAGCACAACTTTGATGAGTGCAGCGAAGGGCTCAGAGTGTCCGCCATTAAACATGAAGAAAACGGAGCTAAGTTTGTGTACTGCTGAATCGGCTTTGAAACGAGGCCACCAAACCTTCACGCCGAGTCCTAATCTTAATCATTGCTAACAATCTCAGCCAGGAAGCGAACCTCCTCTTTTCCTCCAAGCTCTGAAAGACACCCACTGTATGTGAGTTAATAAAAGCTGGAGGAAGCTGCAGTTTAAAAAATAAGTGGCTACATGTTTCTACAAGGTCATACCAGGAAGACCTGTGCCAGACTTCACAGCCAAGTCTCGTTATTTTTTTTTCTACCGTAACGCGCGTTCCCAGATGTTAGTTTCAAGCTTTTCGCCACCGTCGGCAACAAGATTAGAGAGAAACCTCTGGTTTACTCTCTCGCATTTCTACCAACGTCTGCATAGGTTTCCTCCTCAAGCTCTCACCTGTTACCGTGTGCTTCCTGTTTTGTCAGCGTCGACGGCGTGATGCGCACCATGAACGCAGAGAAGCTCATCAAGACTCTGCCCATCATCCAGAACCAGCTGGACGCTCTGCTGGACTTTCAGGTATCTGCTGATGCAATCGACCAGAGCCAGAAACGAGAACTTTGAGATCCGTGGACGTAGTGGTCATGTTTTAGGGCGTGTGTGGAGCTTCAAAGACTGATAGAAATGTTGGGATCACACCAACTGCCTGTGGCTGTTTTTATGTTTAAACATCGTTTCCAACAGCCAACCTGGGGAGGAAAGGTTTCATCTGGTGAACCATCTTTCTGTGTGGCTGATCTCATCCTTCCATGATCAGTCTGGTGATGTGATGAAGATGGCACCTTCATCTTCTCTCTCTCTCTCTCCTCCCTGCAGGCCAATCCTAATGAGCTGACCAACGGGGTGATCAACTCGGCCTTCATGCTGCTCTTCAAAGACTCCATAAGGCTCTTTGCTGCATACAATGAAGGAGTCATCAACCTGTTGGGTAGCACACGTCCCTTTCATACAAAACATTTCACGCTAATGGAAATTGTCATAGTAGTTTGTCAAATTATCAGCTGTCAATCCTCCCAGAGGTTCTGGATCTTTTTAAATAAGTTCAGCCTGTTGAAAAGTCGTCCAGTCATGTTGAAGTTATGCTTCCCAGTTAAAAATTTTTTAAAAGATTTTCAGGGTTTCGTCATCTGCGCTTCATAATCTGGAGATCTCTGCAACCCCTCCCACACGTCGATCTCAGAAATCTGCCTTCAGGCAGCGCTGCCTGAGAAGTATCCCATATTTCTGTGGTATATGGTCTATATCTGGGGGACACTTTCCAGAAAAGCTGCTACACATTAAGAGTTAAACTGATTCAGTGTACATGAAAAACACAGGGATACAACTAACAATCATTTTAGTAAACAATGAGTCTGTCGATTAATCGATAGAACGATAATTCTGCCAAGTAATCAATTATTTGATGGATATTTGAATGTAGCATAGTTAATCAACAAAAAACAATTCTATTGATTGACAAAATGATGTTTAATTGGGCAAAAATTAGCAAATTACACAGATTTTTCACATAAGCCTTTTTTATACAATATTAGAAATACATTTAAAGATGCAAATGAATAATTCAATTCCTTTTTTAATAAAAAAAAAAAACATTTTATTGCCTAAAATGCAACAACGTAGTATTCCTTTAGTGATCGCTTCATCAAAGGATGCATCTGTAGCGAAATAAATACTTCTAAACAGCGCAGGGCTGATCTGGTTGTTATTATTTTTGGATTGACCCATTAATACTTGAATAGGAAAAGGTGCCTAAAAGGAAATTTAGTAGTTTTGACTTAATTGCTGTTAACGTAATTACCGTTCTTTCAGCAATTGGACCTTTTTTTTTTTTTTTT